GTAGTTCGAAATAGAGATCCTAATTCGAACTACCGTTACTCCTCGTAGAGCGCGACCAGGAACAGCTAACAGGAGAGTTTGGAGAGTGAGTTCTCCAGGTAAAAGAGGAGTAAAAACGGGACCCTTGTGGTAAGTGGCTGTCTGGAGTGTGTGTTTGTGTGGGGGGGGAGTTATTTGCAGTGTGCTGAGCTTGTGTTTGTCTGTTCGGTTTGGTTTGTTTGTTTGGTCTGTTTGTTTGTTTGTTTGAAGGAGCTTCTAAAAGGTTTGAAATCTAGAAGCCTCTGTTAATTGGCTGAGCCTCAGTCAGGGGGAGGGGCTACCAGAGCTATATAAGCCTGTGACTCAGCGACCAGGGAGAGCGCGACCAGGAACAGCTAACAGGAGAGTTTGGAGAGGGAGTTTAGAGGGCACTAGTGACTTCTGACGTTCTTTAAAGCATAACTCTTAGAATAATCTATATTCCAGAGGTTTAAAAAGAATCCCAGTTTACACTTAAACTTATTCATTAGAAAAATGGAGACAGAAGCCCAGCAGAGAGTGGGGGCTATCCTGTTTATTGTGTCGAGTGTAACATGTATGATTACCTGCCCTGTGGGTGGGTGGCGTATGTGTGCACCCGTTGCAAGGAGCTCCTGACCCTCAGAGACTGAGTTCGGGCTTTGGAGACTAGGGTGGCTGAACTGGAGGAGCTAAGGGAGGTAGAGACCTATGTTGATGAGACTTTCCGGGACACTGTAGTACTGTCCCACCTCCAGTCTGAGAGCCCCAGTGCTCTTAAGGAGGATGAAAGTCTCAAGGGAACAGAGCATTCAATGGGAGCAGAGGGAAACCATCCCGTAGTTGGGACCAAAGCTGCAGAAATAAAGATGACAGCGGGAGCCTGCTGTGGCGAAAAAGCCATAAAACACATTTTCCCAGGGCCAGGTAGGCAGGTGGAGCTTCTTTTTTTTTTTTTTTTTTTGTTTGACCAAATTAAACGGGTTTGCCACCCTTTCATTTGGAGAGCTGGAATTAATTCAAGTTAACTGAGTGACCCATAAAATTATTCTGTTCAAATGCTTCTACTTAATACAATTAATGACTATAGCCAGTTACTTAATAGTATCAGCAGAACAATAAGCCTCAATGAGCAATTAAAAATAAGTCCTGAATAACCAGCTAGTTGGCAGGGAGGGTATAGATGGCTATGTATTCTTCAGACTTTGAAAGTAATCCCAAAATGTGTATTTCTAATGCAATAATAATAATTTATAATTAATTTCAGAACATCCCAGTAAGGAACATACATTATATTTAATATAGAGCTAGGTAACCTGAGACTGAAGAGCTTAAATCATTTGGCAAATATCACACAGCAGATCAGTGACAAGTTCAAAAAATCTCAATCGACTGCCTGCTTTCAAGTCCCTTGCTCTAAGTACTGTATTTGCAGATTACATTAGTTTTAAGAGTTGATCCTAAGCATGCTAAATGATTTTCTACATTTTAGAAATGCTATATTGACAAGTTAGTTTATGTTCTCTGAACATTGCAGAATTGTGTTCATACTTTTGCATTTAGCCTTAAATGTACACTAAGAGAAAATCCTTATCTAAATTAAGCTATATGGATCACAGAGAGACAGCTGTGGCTTCACTAAAGTAGACCATTCTTTTTTTCCTTGCTAATCCATGTGATTCATTGCTCTAATCCAGGGGTGAGGAACCATTTCTGGGTCAGGGGCTGCTGACCTACAAAAAAATCAGTCAGGGGGCCACACACAAGGAGCCAAACCCTCCCCCCAAAACATAACTGTCACTGACTTGATCCCCGACTGAGAAGGATAGACTTCCCACATTCTCCTCACACACCAGAGCCTGAGTGGGGAAGGTGCAGGCTAGTAGATTTTGAATGCTGCAGCCCTGCAATAGGGTGCCAACACAGGCTCCCCAATGCTGGGGGGGGGGGGAGAGCCCTGAGGCCTTAGGTTCCCCACCCTTAACCATTATGTGTGTGATTCTTCCACTGTTTACCTCCAGGAGTGGTACTTACTCCTGTGAGCAGTCCTACCAATTTCAATAGGACTACTTGTGTAAGTACTAACTCAACATGAGTACAGATGACAGAAATGGGCCCTGTTCTTATTCATGGTGTGGTTAAAGTTCTGACCTCATTAGTGTCTGTAAACTTGCTGAATTTAGTGGGAGAAAATGAGGGCAGAGTCAATGACGTTATGGACCTATATTTTAATTCAATTTTAAGACTCATTTTGTGTATCTTCTGCTTACAAATAAGATCCTCAGTTTGAATACCTCCTCCTGTAACTCGTAGAATTTTCACTAAACACAGCTATTAGTTGAAACAATAGTAAAGAATAAAATTGTGAAGCATGTAGAAGAACATAATTTGTTGGACAAAAGTCAACATGGTTTCTGTAAAGGGAAATCCTGTCTTACTAATCTATTAGAGTTCTTTGAAGGGGTTAACAAACATGCGGACAAGGGGGATCCAGTAGATATAGTATACTTGGATTTTCAGAAAGCCTTTGACAAGGTCCCTCACCAAAGGCTCTTGTGTAAATTACATGGCCATGGGATAAGAGGGAAGGTCCTTTCTTGGATTGAGAACTGGTTAAAAGACAGGAAACAAAGGGTAGGAATAAATGGTAAATTTTCAGATTGGAGAGGGGTAACTAGTGGTGTCCCCCAAGGGTCAGTCCTGGGACCAATCCTTTTCAACTTATTCATAAATGATCTGGAGAAAGGGGTAAGCAGTGAGGTAGTAAAGTTTGCAGATGATACCAAACTGTTTAGGATAGTCAAGACAGAAGCAGACTGTGAGGGACTCCAAGAAGATCTCACCAAACTGAGTGATTGGGCAACAAAATGGCAAATGAAATTTAATGTGGATAAGTGTAAAGTAATGCACATCGGGAAAAATAACCCCAACTATACGTACAGTATGATGGGGGCTAATTTGGCTATGACAAATCAGGAAAGAGATCTTGGAGTTATCGTGGACAATTCTCTGAGAATTTCCACACAGTGTGCAGCGGCGGTCAAAAAGGCAAATAGGATGCTAGGAATTATTAAGAAAGGGATAGAAAATAAGACCCAGAATATCTTACTGCCCCTGTATAAAACTATGGTACGCCCACATCTTGAACACTGGGTTCAGAAAAGGGCAACTAAAATGATTAGGGGTTTGGAACGGGTCCCATATGAGGAGAGGTTAAAGTGACTGGGACTTTTCAGTTTAGAAAAGAGGAGACTTAGGGGGGATATGATAGAGGTCTATAAAATCATGAGTGGTGTGGAGAGGGCTGATAAAGAAAAGTTATTTATTAGGTCCCAAAATAGAAGAAGTAGAGGACACCAAATGAAATTAATGGGTAGCAGGTTTAAAACTAATAAAAGAAAGTTCTTCTTCACACAGCGTGTAGTCAACCTGTGGAACTCCTTGCCACAGGAGGCTGTGAAGGCTAGGACTATAATAGAGTTTAAAGAGAAGCTAGATAATTTCATGGAGGTTAGGTCCATAAAAGGCTATTAGCCAGGGGATAAAATGGTGTCCTTGGCCTCTGTTTGTCAGAGGCTGGGGAGGGAGTTTAAAGAGAAGCTAGATAATTTCATGGAGGTTAGGTCCATAAAAGGCTATTAGCCAGGGGATAGAAATGGTGTCCCTGGTCTCAGTCAGAGGCTGGAGAAGGATGGCATGAGACAAATCGCTTGATCATTCTCTTCGGTCCACCCCCTCTGGGGCACCTGGTTGCTGGCCACTGTCGGCAGACAGGCTACTGGGCTAGATGGACCTTTGGTCTGACCCAGTACGGCCGTTCTTATGTTCTAACTCCGGTTGCCCTCATTTGCCTACCTAGCTTGAACTAACGAGCTAGTGTAGACATACCCCTCCATGAGTCCAAAATGGTGGGTCTCCTCCTATTCTTCCTCCTCATTGACAAGGTTGTAGATGGTGTAGCAGCAACAGTGAGCAGCAGCCAACTGGGGAACAACCTCTGGATGGTGGGTGATGGTGGGGTCCTCCTCACCTCTTCCTCCGGCCGTGGGGGGAGCAGGCTGGCAGTCCTCCCAGGTAGCAACGAAGGTGAGGGGTGGCAGTAACAGCTGTCCTGGGTGGGAGAGGGCCAGCAGGCAGGCAGGCAGCTGCAGGGGAGTGCTGAGGCAGCTGGATAGGGCAGGGGAGAGAGGGAAGGGAGGGTGCTCTGGAGCACAGAGGAGAAGGAGTAGGAACAGCACCCACATCCACACCCCCCTCCTTCTCCTGTAATGGGACACAGAATGGGCGACCACTGTCCCGAGGGGGAAGAGCCCCTCCGTGAGCTCTAATAAGCTACACATAGTGGAGAATGTGGGCATGACGCAATCCCAGAGGCAAGGTGCCTCATATGGAAAAAAAAAAGACACTGTGGATCTAGACAAAATTTGTAAGTCCCTGGGCAGAAGCCAGCAACAGAAGCAGTTGATGCAGAAGCTCGCACCCAACACCACCAGCAGCAGCAGTTGGTGCAACAGTTGGGCACCCAGCAGCAACAACCCCTGCCACAGATGGCAACTCAAAACCAAGAGCTCCAGTGGCAGGGCTTCCAGCAAATGACAGCCCTATGGTCTCGGCCTGACATGCAGCCACCAGGCCCCCTGGAGATCATCCCAACCCCACAGCTCCTGTACGCCTTGCCAAGATGGGGATGCAATACTGACATTTTATAACATCAGGTTGCTCTTTAAATAAAATAATTATCTTTATAATTAAGACTTTTACAAGGTTCAAGAAAGAACTGGATACATTCATGGAGGATAGGTCTGTCAGTGGCCAGGATGGGCAGGGGCAGTGTCCTTCACATCTGTTTATCATAAACAGGGAATACGCGAAAGGGACAGGGACACCTGTTCATTCCCTGTGAGGCACTTGCCATTGGCTACTGTCAGACATGATAGTGGACTAGATGGACCTTTAGTCTGACCCAGTCTGGCCATTCTTATGTTCTTCATTATCTTTTACAGACGCATCGCCATGGGGAGGCACCTGATAAGCTGTTGGATAATTGTTCTTTTTGTTGCGATGTGGAGTGATGTTTCCCTTGCCAAAAAAGGAAAGGGTAAAACTGGTGGAGGTGGTTGGAACACAGGAAGCAACCGAAATCCCAGCAACCCTGGTTATCCCTCCAATCCTGGCTATCCCAGAAACCCGAGCTACCCCCACAATCCTGGTTATCCCAACAATCCTGCATACCCCCCTAATCCCAGTTATCCCAGAAATCCTAGCTACCCCCAAAATCCAGGGTATCCCAACAACCCTGGGGTTGGTGGACAGCCCTACTATCCACCCGGTGGTGGAACAGACTTCAAAAACCAGAAGGGCTGGAAGCCTGCCAAACCCAAAACCAACCTGAAAGCTGTGGCAGGAGCAGCAGCAGCAGGTGCTGTGGTGGGTGGTATTGGAGGCATTGCCCTGGGAAGTGCAATGTCAGGAATGCGCATGAATTTTGACCGTCCTGATGAGAGCCGATGGTGGAATGAAAACCAAAATCGCTATCCCAACCAAGTTTACTACCGGGAATATGGCGACCGCTCAGTTCCAAGGGGAACATTTGTGAATGACTGCGTTAATATCACCGTGACCGAATACAAGATTGATCCTAAAGAAAATCAAAACGTGACCGAGATTGAAGTCAAAGTCCTGAAGCGTGTGATCCAGGAGATGTGCATACAGCAATACCAGAAATACCAGCTGGCATCTGGTGTCAAACTACTCCTCTGTGATCCCTTGCTCATGCTGATGATCATGCTTGTCTTTTTTTTGGTAATGCGTTAAAAAAGCAATTTCAACCTGAACTGTGCTGCTGATCTGTGCAAGCGTTCTGTGGGAATAACCTATATAAAACAGCTGTTCTGTGGAGTTCTGTCATTCTTGCTTGTAAAAACTTTAAAAATAATGAATAGTCCTGCAGCACCTCAGAAACTAACAAAACCTATAGATGGTATCATGAGTTTTTGTGGGCACAACCCACTTCTTCAAATGAATGAAACAGCAGAAAAAGAGAGGATGGGGGGGAAAGAGAAGGAAAAAATCTTGTCAATTAGAGTGTCCATGATCTAAAAGTGTCTATTGCAAAGCAATTTAAAAAAACTAGCTGGAGAGAAAAGCTGCAAAACCTGCCTTCATTTGCAGATTTGACACCTTTAAGCAAGGTTTGGACAAAGACCTGAACTGGATGGGCTACTGCATTTAACATTCTAATGACATCAAAAGCTAAGCACTGAGCACTTCCAGCCCATTCTATTAGTCTCATTTAGCATGGACACTCTAATTGACAAGATTTTTTTCCTTCTCTTTCTCTCCCCATCCCCTCTTTTTCTGCTATTTATTTGTACCTCTGGATCTCTTGCTTCATTTGTCTGAAGAAGTGGGCTGTGCCCACAAAAGCTCATGATACCATCTGCAGGTTTTGTTAGTTTCTGTGGTGCTGCAGGATCAGTGTTCCCTTTAAGCTGTGTGGCAGCATAGTTTCACAGGTGTTTAATCAGCCCTGGCCAGTCAGGCAGCTGGAACCCGGAGCCCCTGACTGGGCAGGGCTGATCAATCACCTGTGAAGCTGCGCTACCACTCAGCTTAGAGCAAACACTGAGCAGTACTCATGTTAATTTTTTTTCAGTTACAGACTGACATGGCTACCCCCTGAGATTCTTGCTTATGTTTGTCTTTCTTGAGTATCTTAAGCTCTGTAATAAGTATTGGTAATGTACCGCAGACACAGGACGACAGTGTACAGCTCTCTCTTCAGAGCTATCTCTGATTATACACCTACTGCCCAGAATTAGGATCAGGGCCAGACTTAGCTCCAAGATTTTACTAGTGCAATAGAGCTTAGAAGCCCATGCAAATCAATTAACATTGACTTAGCGACTTTATGATCACACAAAAAAGTGGCCTTCACCAAAACACCATCTTTCTCAAATTCATTCATTAAATGCTGGTACAGATAGGAATAATTAGGTCACATTCATCTTCCCTCCTTTGAAGTAGACCATTTTTGAGAGAGATTTCTCCATTTCAGTACATGACTGGACTCTTCCCTCTCCAGCTAGTCTGTTTAGAGATGTCCGACTGTTTCTGGCTTCACAAGCCCTCCCTAGTCATCTAGACCAAGCAGGCTGCCTAGGTGGGACACTTATGAAAATCTGCTTTACAGATAATGCAGTGTTTTACCTGGTGCCAGTGGTACTGAAATATCCCCAACTTGGGGATGTCGCATTTTTGGGACATCCACTGTCCAGGTTCAAATTACAAGTGACTTTTGTGACCTAGTGTACATCCCAAGTATTGCACATGGTTTTTCATAGCTTGTGAAGTGAGACACTTCCATTGCTAGTCTGTATTTTGTAACATTAGATCACCTTCTTGTACTTAGGAGTTTCCTCTCTAAGGACTGCCATGCACATGCACGCAGTATTCCATCCATTTAGCTATTTGCAAGTTCCAGCAGTGACTAAAGAACAGGCCAGCTTGGAAAGCAAAAGTGAACCTAAGATGGCAGCCTGCCAAATGCCAAGGTTTCATGGAGCAGGCCTAGGTTTAAGATTGGGCAGAGTGTATCCTTTTTGTTGAACAGTAATTGTCTTTGACTTGGACTGCTTAGGGAGACAAATGGCTGATGAATGTGTAAAATAGCTGCACTTGTTTCGTAGTTTTCCTCCCAGAAAAAGGAAGTAACCTAATGCAGTAAAATGTGCATGGCAGAGTACATTCTGTACTGCCCATAAAGGTTCTCCCTCCATCTGTGTGAGTGCAGCTCAAAGGGTGGACTCCAGAGGGAGTTGTGCGTGACGAGCTCCTACAGGTAGACTTTGGCTTTAGAGGCCTCATCTGAAACCTGTTGAAGCCTCTGGAAAGTCTCCCATAGGTCAGGCACTTAATCAGTAAAACTTACCGTACCCTTACTTTAGCAAATTGATCAAGTTAGAGCAAGTAACATCAGTAAATATTATCCCAGCACAGTCAAAATTCTGGAAACCATCTTTTAGAAGCAACCAATCCTGGCTAAGCCATTGCTTAATACCCTAACCTAATTGTTACTGTTAATTGTTGGGGTCAGTTATAGCTAATCTGCATTTTGATTCTCTTGATGCTTTAGAGGCGTTGTATATAATATGTAGTATATGTAAAATTTATGCTTGTTGCAACTATCCTATCCAATATTTAATATATATATATATATTCTGTATATTTCAGCAAGGCACTGAATGACGAAAACTAAGAACCACCCTTAATTATTTCTGCTTCAGTGTAAGTTGAATGGAATATTATGAAAAATTGTTCAGAATTCACACCATAAAACTAAGATTTTGAAGTCATGGGTAGTTTGTGACGTGAGAACATTTTATATGTTTGTAACAGCGCATGTACTTTACCTTTGACGTTCAAGTCTTTTTATAAATGTTTGTTGTCCAATAAAAAATTAAACAGACACCATAACGTGTGTGTCTTTCATTTGTGAACATTTCATCCACTCAAATCAGAAGGTGAACTCCATTTAGAGCCCCCCCTTGCCATACTATGAGCACTTCATGGGTAATATTAATTAATGATTATGAATACCCCTGTTGAGTTAGGCAGGTATTATCCCTGCTTCACAGATGGAAAAACTTACCAGTAGAGTACATTAAGCAAATTGCCCACAGGAAATCTGTGGCTGAGGCCAGTCCAATATCATATATTCAGGGTACTCCTTCTTCGCTTGGCTTTGCTTTAATTGTATTTTAACAGTACAGGCAGTCCCCGAGTTACGCGGATCCGACTTATGTCGGATCCGCAGTTACGAACGGGGCACTTCCTCTCCCTGGTCTCCAGCAGACCAGGGAGAGGAAGCAAAGCGGCGGAACGCGCGGCCAGCTGACAGCCCAGACGCGTCTGGGCTGTCAGCTGGCCGCGCGTTCCGCCGCTTTGCTTCCTCTCCCTGGTCTGCTGGAGACCAGGGAGAGGAAGTGCCCCGTTCGTAACTGCGGATCCGACATAAGTCGGATCCGCGTAACTCGGGGACTGCCTGTACTCTGTCTTTCCAGGAGATGTTTGCTGAAAATAAACAAAGATACAGCTTTGTTCAAACATTCCTAAACAAGCTCGAGCCTTCCACACATGTTGGTGTGAGATTTTTGAGTAACTTGGAACTTTATAAGGAATTTTATCTAGCAACATTAGAACAACATGACCTGTACTGGGCAGCATCCCAGAGATGTTACCACTGTGGAAAAGGTAATCACATGGTTTCAGGAGGACACTGATGTGTTCCTTCATAATGATAGAGAACCTGCCCGACCGAAGGGAGCAGGGCCGGCTCTAGTCATGTGATCATAGTGGGCCCCATGCATTTTGGGCTGTGCTCTGTCAACACAATCTCCTGCAATCTATTATACTTATATGGCCCCTATTGACATATCTTCAATGTATTTGCCACACCTGTGAAGTAGGAATGTGCAATAATTCCCATGTGATAGATGGGGAACTGAGGCAAAATGAAACTAAAACCTCGTCTATGTGTGAAAGTTAATCTGGACTAAGTTAGAGTGTGACGTTAAAGCAGCTTTACTGGTTTTGATTAACTTTGTACATGGCTGCTCTTATTCTGAATTAACTTCCAAAATGGATTAAGAACATTCACACAAGCTGTTAATCAGCAATAGCTACCCCTGTACACCAATCCTACATGACTTGGTCCACACAGGGAGTCTGTCAAGCAGCCAGGCATTGATTCAGCCACTGTTGAAACTGATCAGTTTCAGCAGCAGCTGAATCTGGACGCCAGTTCCGACTTACATACAGATTCAACTTAAGAACAAACCTACAGTCCCTATCTTGTACATAACCCGGGGACTGCCTGTATAGAATCTTAAACAATTCCTAAATGACTGACGGACTTGCAGCCCTGGTCTACACTAGGGAGTTATTTGATTCAGCCACTGTTGAAACTGATCAGTTTCAGCAGCAGCTGAATCTGGACGCCAGTTCCGACTTACATACAGATTCAACTTAAGAACAAACCTACAGTCCCTATCTTGTACATAACCCGGGGACTGCCTGTATAGAATCTTAAACAATTCCTAAATGACTGACGGACTTGCAGCCCTGGTCTACACTAGGGAGTTATTTTGAAATAACAAGTGAAGCGTCCACACTACCAAGACTTATTTCGAAATAATGGTCTGGTTATTTCAAAATAACTCCTGCTTTCCTCAGGGAATAATGCTTATAATGCATTAATATTAATATGCTTACAATCCACTAATAATGCAGTAGTGCTGACACTGCATTATTGTTGACACATAAGTGTTGACACTTAGTTGGGATTGGTCCTGCCTAGAGCAGAGGGCTGGACTTGATGACCTTCTGAGGTCTCTTCCAGCTCTATGGTTCCATGATTCTATGACTCCACTGCTGATATTTTGAAATAACTATTCCCCAGAGTCATTCAAAGTGCTTCCTGGGGCTCTAAGATGAGGTAGCGCATCCACATTAAGGAATCCTGCCTCGGACTAATTTTGAGGCTTCCCTGTAGTATGTATATGCTATTTCAACATAGTTATTTCAAAATTATTTCCTAGTGTAGACATGCCCTATGTCTTCTTAGTAACATAGACATAGCGGCTTTTTATCCATAGCGGCTAAGAAAATCTATGTTCTCATAAATTTTAAGTGGCAAGTTACTAGATGAAGAAGTGACTTACCTACTATGCAGGTGAGGAAATAAAGGCGAGGAAACTAGCAACTTTTTTGCACAGTAACACAGGAGAGTCTTGAAGTTAGTACTACAATACCTGTAGTCCTAAAAAAAAAAGAATATATGATCCTGTATTTCTTTGCAACATTTATAATCAATAAAGCTGGTTAGGAAAATGAGGGTCCTATTTTCCAGGGGATTCCGACAACATTTCAAAAATTCATCCTGAATTGATCTAAAATGTTGAATTTTCCACATAACAGAAATTCCAAAAATATGCAGTTCAAATGCCAAAATGTTTTGTTTTGATAATACCAAAACAATGTCAGAATGAAACAAACAAAATGTTTTGACGTTTTTAAAAACTGAGAACGTTAATATGACTCAATTTCAAAGTCCTCCTATCCCCAAAATTGATGTAAAAAGTTTCAGTTTCAACCAAATTGCATTTTGTGTTCCACTGAACATGTTGACCAGCTCTACTAGGTCATGTAACTGGGCAAAGCAGGCATAAATATTGCTGTTCTAGTTGGTGGTATGTTGCACGACTTTGAACAGGTGCATGTGGCTCTGCCAAACTGCAGAAAAATCAGGACTAGTGTCACATGTCATCATTTGGTAAAGTGGGGGTCAAACTCTTGATTGTAGATCAGCAAAGTGGAGCAAAAATTATGGATGTAATAGTATAGTTGATTATCTGATAAGCTAAAACCTATAGGTTAATGCTATAGACTACTGCATTTCCCCCATGCCCCACTCCTTGCCAGTACATTTTTTAGCAGCCTGGCCTGCACTGGATCCTGGACCTACCCCTGTTGTGGCTCTGCATTTAAAGTGTATTAGGAGCCAGGCAGGCAGGCAGCCTGGCTCAGTTCCAACTCATGCCAGGTCTGGGAGCTCAGATCCCCTCCCCCTGGACAGGAGCTGCCTGGAGACTACAGAATAGTCGACTAACCAATAAGAATCATGAGGTTAACTGACCATTCAATTAACCGATATTTATCATCCCTAGCAAAAATCCTAAGCCTGGAAGGATAAATAAGTACCTACCGTCACATCCTAGCATTAATAATTTATTAGCCATGTATTTTTGCATGCATCAGAAAATGATAGGTCTTAAAACCATTTTGTTAATTTCCCTCTGTTCAGGGAATGTTGTATGCTTCCTGTCTGTGTGAAGTTAAGTACATTTATCACGGGCCCAATTCAAGATCTCAGACTGAAATTTTATTTGTGCAGAAAACTGGTGTCTGCTAGGCCATGGCAGCTCGAGTTTTCCTCAGCCCCCTGCCTTTTCTCAGGTGCATGAGCCTTTCCCATGACCAACACAATCCTTCACAGCTCTACTGAGATGCCTTCAAACAGCAGCAAGGTCTGTGACATGGACATTTACTCACTAGAAACACTGATAAACTCCTATCATAACTAACCAAACAGGCATCACTTTCGTTCACTACTAACCTGGGGAGCATTTGAACTACTTACACCAGAGTTATCGAATCCCATTTCCATCTCCTCCCCAATCCCTGCTATTTCTTGCTTAATATTAATTTTAAACTGTGCCTTGGGGACAAAGGTGAGAGCAAGCTGGGGCATCCTGGGGTGCCACTCTGGTAAGAAGGAGCCGGCTGACTGGGGTGCTTCGCTGCAGGAGGAGGTTCTCGGGACTCTCCTGCTGACTGTGGCATTAAGCAGCAGGCAGCCAGGCAGGTGAAAGAGGTGGGCTGGCTGGAGGCGCACTTCCGCCACCAGTCTGGGATTGCTCCAACACCAAACACCCTTTAGGGAGAGTAGGAGGTGCTGATCCCTCCCTCCCTCCCTGAGATTGGTACGAGGATGCTGCTTGCTGTTCCCCTTCCAATCGGAGAGCGAGAGGGAAAGCACACATCTCACCAGTATTCCTCTCCCTCCTGACTGGGGAGGGCAGGGGACAGAGGACTGTCCAACTCAAGCTGGGGGCTTTCCTCTTCCTTCCTGATAGTCATGGGAAGGTGCCTGGGCTGTTTCCCACTCTGGCAGAAGGTAGAGGACTTTAAATAACTTGCCTCTAGACTCTGCTTACAAACGACCCCATCAAGAGTCACAGAGGGTACGTCTACACTACAGAGTTAGTTCGAACTAACTTTCATAGGCGCTACACTAGCGCTCCGCTAGTTCGAACTTAATTCGAACTAGCGGAGCGCTTAGTTCAAACTAGGAAAACCTCATTTTACGAGGATTAAGCCTAGTTCGAACTAGCTAGTTCGAACTAAGGGCTGTGTAGCCCCTTAATTCGAACTAGTGGAGGCTAAGGCTTCCCAGGTTTCCCTGGTGGCCACTCTGGCCAACACCAGGGAAACTCTATTGCCCCCCTCCCGGCCCCGGACCCCTTAAAGGGGCACGGGCTGGCTACGGTGCCCATAGCAGCCCCGGCCCCTGGCCCAGCTCGAGCCAGCCACCCGATGCCCCCCAGCCCTCCCCCTCTTCCCAGGACCAGGCTGGCGGCTCCCGGGAGCTTGCCTGGGACCGCAAGAGGCGGGCACCCGCCTGGGCTAGTGCGGACATCGTGGACCTCGTCCACGATCT